CTGCATGACCATAGGGGTAGATATATTCTTTCAAATTAGTATTTTGGGTTTCTTTGGATAAATTCTCAGGAGAAGGATTGCTGGGTCATAAGGCAGTTCCGTTTTTAATTTTTTGAGGAAACTCCATATTGCTTTCCACAGTGGCTGCATTAATCTGCATTCCTACCAACAGTGTACGAGGGTTCCCTTTTCTCCCCATCCTCACCAACACTTGTTATTTGTTGATTTATTGATGATAGCTGTTCTGATAGGTGTGAGGTGATATCTCATTGTGGTTTTAATTTGCATTTCTCTGATGATTAGTGACATTGAACATCTTTTCATATATCCATTGACCATTTGTATGCCATCTTTGGAGAAGTGTCTATTCAGGATCTTTGTCTATTTTTTAATGGATTTTTGTGTGTGTGTGTGTTGAATTATATGAGTTCTTTATAAATTTTGGATTTAATCCCTTATTGAATGTATTATTGGCGAATATCTTTTCCATTCAATAGGCTTTTTTTTTCATTTTATTGATGGTTTCCTTTGCTATGCAAAAACTTGTTAGTTTGATGTAGTCCCATTTGTTTATTTTTTCCTTTTTCCCCTTGCCTGAGGAGATATATCAGAAAAAAATATTACTAAGAGCAATGTCAGAGAGTTACTGCCTATGCTTTTTTCTAGGAGTTTTGTGGTTTCAGGTCTTACATTTAAGTCTTTTATTCATTTTGACTTTATTCTTATACTAGAGGCCCGTTGCACGAAGAGATTCGTGCAATAGGCCTTCCCTTCCCCTGGCTGCCGGCACTGGTTTTCCTGCGGCACCCGGCACTCAGGCCTTTGCTCCGGACGGAGCCTTCAGTCTTCGTGGCTCCGGATGGCGCTCCAGTCTTCTCTCTGCCACTTCGCCCCTACATATGCAAATTAACCGCCATATATTTGTTGGGTTAATTTGCATACTCTCCTGATTGGCTGGTGAGCATAGTGGAGGGACAGTTAATTTACATGTTTGTCTATTAGGTAAGATATGGTACAAAATGGTCTAGTTTGATTTTTTGCATGTATCTGTTTAGTTTTCCCAACACCATTTTTTTTTTTTTTACCATACTGCATATTCTTGCCTCCTTGGTCATATATTAATTGACCACAAAGATGTGGGGGGTTTTTCTGGGATCACTATTCTGTTCCATTGATCTATGTGCCTGTCTTAATGCCAGTATCATGCTGTTTTTTATTTCTATAGACTTGTAGTATAGTTTGATATCAGGTTGCATAATACCTCCAACTTTGTTCTTTTCTCCAGGATTGCTGTGGCCTATTTGGGGTCTTTTGTGGGTCCCATATAAATTTTTTGTGGTTATTTGTTCTAGTTTTGGTGAAAACACCATTGGGTATTTTGTTAGGGAATTGTGTGGGAATCTATATATTGCTTTGGGTAGTATGGACATTTTAATGATGTCAGTTATTCCTATTTATGAGAT